ATATATATATATATATATATATATATATATATATATATATATATATATATATATATATAAAGGCTGATAAACAAAAGTGCGAATTTGAAAGCCGAGCAGAAAAACCTATGTATTTTTTCTTCAGGTGTATCGACAGCTGAGAGATATACGGGTGGCCTATAGTCTACTTTACTACTTCGAACTTTCTTCATTTGTTTTTTATTTGTTTTATTTGTTTTAATTCATTTTTGTTGTTTTTTTGTTTTTTTGTCAAAGAATTAAAAGACAAATGCTGCTGCTCGCCGCCCAAGGCTGTGGGGACCTTCTTGGAATTAGAAAAGAAAGAAAGAAAACTTTTCTTTTCCATTTTTATTCCTTTCCACTTTTCTTTTTTTCTCTTTTTCATTTTTCCCCTTTTCACTTTTCTTCAATTGCGTTCATCGCAAATGGCCATTAAGGCATTCCACTTCCACTACACACTGTAGACATATATATATATATATATATATATATATATATATATATATATATATATATATATATATATATATATATATAACATATATATATATTATACAGGATATATATATATATATAACATATATAACATAAAATATATATATAATATATATATATAATGTAAAACATATAATATGCATATAATATGTATATAATATATATATACATATATGTGTATGTACATGCAATACATAACATATATGTACTATATACGATATATATTATATGTGTACATATGCATATTATATATATATATATATATATATATAAATGCATGTATAATAAATTATATATATATATAATATACATTTATTATATGTGTATGGGAGCTTCTTCTAAGCTGTAGGAGTAAAAAAGTTGAAAGTGAATATAAAGGCGCCACATAACGAGGTGTACGTATACCGCGCGGTGTACATACACCCCACTCAGCCACCCAGGAAGAGCCCACCCCACGGAAGTGCAGAAATGAAATTAAATGTTTATTATTATTTATTATTACTACTATTTTTATTTATTATAATTATTGAACTAAATTGGGGAGAAATAATTACTTTTAACCCTTAATTGCTGCTCTTGTGCACAGAAAGAAACGCCTGCCAGCAGCCAAGGAACGCTCCCTTGGAAATATCATTTTTTGGATTTTCTCGGAATTCCATCAGTGGAATTTCGGGAAACTTGCGCCATTTAATGCAAAATAAAATGCTCTTTCTGAATATGCATTTATTTCTGATTTATTTTTGTCATTTAAAGCTTCAAACTGACTCCAAACTTTCCGCAGGCCCTCTACCCGCGGGTGTACGTACACTCCAGCACCCTCGGCATTATACGCATGCGTACGAGTTCTTCTCTGCTTGCATTTATTTTATTTATTTATTTTTATTTACATTCGCCTACTGTGGTTCTCACGCTTTATGTACGCATACGGCATATATTTATATTTATGTGTATATATATATATATGCATTTACTGTACATATAGATATATATTTGATAATATATATATTTTATATAACATGTACACGACCATACATATAAATATATACTACTATGCACTACATACAATGCATTATATATTATCTGTATATGTAATATTTTATTAAGTACTTTTTAATCCTTTATACACCCTGCAGCTGTCTGTGTAAACGTCCAGTGTACGTACACCTGAATGCATGCAAACAGATATCCATTAAACGCATATATATATATATATTTATGGACATTTCCACTTTATATATATATATATACATATATAAATATATATTTATATATATATTTGATTATATATGTGCAATAAAGCATATAAAAATATAAAAAAGATAAAAGACATAAATGACGCAAAGCTTTCCACCCATCTGCGTTCCACGCACCTCCCTGTACACCCCAGGAGCTGTCTGTACACCCGAGGGTCCCTCACCGCGGGCCCCAAAACAAAATAAGCAGCACTTGCATGCATTATTTAAATAAATATCAATAAATAAATCATAAATATTCACAAAACTATAATAATAATAATAATATTTCGCCACTTTGCTTCTGCAGCAGCACAGCCTTCCCCTTCCCCCACACTGTACATACACCCCAGCGCCCTGGCGCCAGCAGCAGCAGCAGCAGCGGCTGCTGCTGCTATTGCTGCTGCTGCAGTAGTAATAATATCTGCTGCTGCGGCAGCAGCTAGTACTACTGCTGCTGCTGCAACTGCAGCTGCAGTTACTGCTGCAGACCTCACTGCAGTTGCTGCTGTTGCTGCTGCTGCAGCAGCAGCAGCAGCAGCAGCAGCAAGGAAAGGTCAAAATGTGGGCAGCCCACGCGCTGCCAGACCCCCGGAAATGCGCAGCACTTTTCTTTTAATGCATTTTCATTTTTGTTCTTATTTTTGTTTTTTGTTTTGAATTTAATTTTGTTTTCAATTTATCTCTTTACTTATTTTATTTGTTTAATCTGCTGCTGCTTTTATGATCACCGCAGCTCTCCAATAATGCGTCGCACTTCTCCTTGGCAGCAGCAGCAGCAGCAGAAACTGCTGCTGCTGCTTCGCTGCTGCTGCTGCTGCTGTTGCTGCAGCTCGCCCGCCTCATCAGAGCCATCCATGCCCCCGTTTCTCCCGAAGCAAGAATGGCGCGCAGCAGCAGCAGCAGCAGCAGCAGCAGCAGTAGCTGCTGCTGCTGCTGCTGCAGCATTCCCCTGCTGCTGCCGCTGCAGCAGCAGCAGTAGCTGCTGCTGCTGCTGCTGCTGCTGCAGCAGCTGCTGCTGCAGCGGGTCAGAGCCAGACAGGCCCCCCCTGCTCGTTGGAGAACTTGTTGGCAATGATGTCGGCGAAGACAAGAGAAGTAATTGCAGAAAGTTTTATTAAAATGTTCAAAGATGGTCCAGTGGTGTCTTTCAAAGGGTCCCCCACAGTGTCCCCCGTCACTGCGTTCTTGTGGGCTGCAGAGCCCTTCCCGTTCTCCGCGCCCAGCGCCCCGGACTGCAGCAGCAGCAGCAGCAGCAGCAGCAGCAGCAGCAGCAGCAGCAGCAGCAGCAGCAGCAGCAGCAGCAAGGACAGCAGCAGCAGCAATAGCAACAGCACCAGCACTTCACACACGACCACCACCCCACCCCTTCCTCCCGTCACCCCCCGCATCATCATCATCATCATCATCAGCAGCAGCAGCAGCAGCAGCAACAACAGCAGCAGCAGCAACAACAGCAGCAGCAGCAGCAGCAGCAGCAGCAACAGCAGCAGCAGCAGCAACAGCAGCAGCAGCAGCAGCAGC